TGTATACCAAAAGACAGACAGTAGTCAAAGACCTTACTTAGCTGTTCCTTTATTTCCTACTTCATGTAATGAATGCTAAGCAAAGTGCATATATTACCCACACTATTACAGTCTTATGGTTTCCAGAAGCCAAAACTGTCTTCACCCCAGGGGATATGGCCTTGCCAATTTAAAGGTAGTGAAAACACTAAAGAGTGTTTGCCTATAACAAAGCTTTTAGAAGCAAGACAGATAACTATTTAAGGGTAGGAGTGGATGGGTAGGGGGAATCCAGCCTTCTTCAGTAACTCTGTAAAAGCATTTGAATATCTGTGGTGATATTCAGTCAAATCGATTGCCTCCTTTGAGTCAGGTTTATTGATGACATCTAAAAATGGCTTTCTCTCCTCCTTTCGGGGACTGAAGAAGGCTAAGTCCCTCTCTCTATAAGATATTTCATGCTATACATAAGCATAATCTCTAGACAAATAATTTTCACAGAAATTCTACCATCATTATTAGATCTTTTCTTACCTTATTGCAATAAGTGAATTAAATCTTCTGTGAAGAAACACAGATATCCCTAAAATACATTTTTTAAATAAAAGGTCACAATTTTTAAGCTGCATTTGAATTTAAAAAATCGGTGCAAGATACTGATGAGAATCTGAGGATTTTCCTAAGATCTCATGATAGCAGAAAGGTAGTAAGGTTAAAGGAAATGAGTACCACATCTTACTCATCATTACATCCCTCATATCTAGCACAGGGCATAACAAATGTTCAATAAAAATTGGCTGAATAATTGGCTTATTTTGCGGTCATATATAATAAGTACTGCATATCTACGTCACTACACTGAGAAACTCAGATTAGTATAATCTTCCCTCCTGGGTAAAAAGGAAAATAATAGGGTCTCTGACTCATGAAGGCAGGTTAAGAAACGGAAGGAGAACATCCTTCTAACACAGGTGGAGACAGAAAAGGTGGGAATCCAGCGAGAGTGTTAATGGCCTCATCTTTCATAGCAGAGAGTCAATCAATACTGTCTAAAAGCGAACTATAATGCTCAAACCACTTGAAATGTTTTACATATTTTCTTAATCTTAGGGGAATCTCTGGGGAAATAACCATGCCTGGAGTGAAAAAGCAGTTATTTAAAATTCAGCAATTCCTTCTATGTCACTAGGGTTTCTTCTCTTTTCTTTAAAGTTCAGTTAGAATTTAAAATGAAAACCATACCATGATTAAATTTTTATGAAAGACTTTATTTCTATATATCTATTCTGCCTTTATATACATAGAAAGATGTCTAGAATGATTTTCCTTAATGTTAATAATTTCACTTTCAGAATTAGGAAGAATTTCACTTAATTATAATTAATTTTCTGCATTGGTTAATATATAATAAATTGTTTGAAAAGCAAAAGAAAGAGTTAAGATGACTTTTAGGATTAAGCAATAGAATAGATGGTTGGGCCACTTAATGATTTATTTTGTTTTGCTTTTGTGGGAGGAGATCCAAGAGATCAGTTTTAGACATGTTAAGTTTGTGAGGTCGGAGAAATGTGTGAATTAAGATGTCGGGAGGGAGAATAATGTTTGAGGGTAGGCATATAAATTGGGGCATCCACTGACATACAGATGATACTTAAAAGCAAAGGTGTAAGTGGATAAACTAGAGGTAGAGTGTACTGTAGTACCCCCTTATCTGTGGTTTTCCTTTCTGTTGTTTCAGTTACCTGTAGTCATCTGTGGTCTGAAAATAATAAATGGGAAATTCTAGAAATAAACACATCATACCTTTCAAACTGCATGCTGTTCTGAGCAGCATGATGAAATCTCACTCCGTCTGGCCCAGCTCATCAATCATCCCTTTGTCCAGTGTATCCACACTGTATAATGCTACCCACATGTTAGTCACTCAGTAGCCACCTTGGTTATCAGACTGACTGCTGTGGTAGTTCAGTGTTTGTGTTCAAGTAACTCTTATTTTACTTAATAATGGCCCCAAAGTGTCTGAGTAGTTATGTTAGCAATTTGGATATGCCAAAAATAAGCCGTAAAGTATATGTACATGTAGGAAAAAACATAGTATATACAAAGTTAAGTACCATCTAGTTTCAGGCATCCACTGGGGGGTCTTAGAATGTATCCCCTGTGGATAAGGGAGGACTACTGTATAGACAGAAAGTGGACCCATGGACAAGTTCTGAGTAGTCCAACATTCGGAGTTTGCTTAAGAATACAAAAGAGAAGAAACAGCAGCCATAGAAGTGTGTGGTGTCACAGAGGCAAAGAGAACTTCCACGTAAAAGAAACGGGCCACTATATCAAATGCTACTGATAATTATAGCAAAATGAGAATTAAAAAGAGAAGAAGAGTCCAGTAGATTCATCATTATAGAAGTTATCAGTAACCTGGAGATGAGCAAGATATGCAGTTCTGACAGACTTATAGTCAAATGTCAATGTCAAATCTAAGTGGGTTGAGTAGTAAACAGACATGAGCAAGTAGGGACAGTGTGTATAGATCACTTTGCTAACGGGTGAGAGGCAGAGAAACAGGACAGTGGCTGGAGGAGATGTGAAGTCAAAGAAAGTTTCTTCTTGCATGCATTTTGTTCTGTTTCAATGTAAGATGGGACATATGAAAGCATATCAGTCTGCACGCTGATACCAACAGTAGAAAAGGACAGGTTGGAAGTACAATCTCCTCGTATATTAGTCATTTACAATATAAGGTTTATAAGACAATCTTGGCAAATAAAAATTCAGAATATCAGATAGAATGTGATGCTGTTGAAAAGTTAAAATCTACATTTCACTAAGTCCCATATATAGAGTCATCTAAGCGCTGTGGTAAACCTAAAGGAGTTGTGTTGAACTTATGCTATTTATAAATTTTTGAAGCAGGAGAAGAAAATAAAGAGAATGAAACAAGCAATGCTAAATTAGAAGTCATAGACATTAATGGGATGATCTACTGAAGGGCGTGGTATGATGAAGGCACAATTAGAAACCAATAAAAACACTATAGGAGGGAAAAATGCAGGTAAGAATCTAAAACACATGGAAACACAACATTTATATAATACAAAGCTATGATCTAAATTATTACATCACTGGACCTCAGTGACCAATGCTGGATGAAAATGAGTAAAAAAAATTAAATAAAAGTAAATAACTTTAAGTATGATTTAAAATACAACCGAATTAAATGTTGTTATGAGAATGAAATTTAAAATACAATGAAATAAATTTCTTGTCAATGAAAAGCTTGTCACAAGGCACATAAAATACAAACTTCCTCAGAAAGTGATTTTGTCATTTTCTTTGTCTGAATTCTGATGTTGTAAACATAGCAAACTATTTGGCAGCATGTAGAAGACTACTGGAATACTAAAAAAATGAAGACAAAATTTATTTCCTAGTAAAACATAAAAATAGAATAAAATTGATAAAAATCAACACCTGAAGTACTATTATTATATTCATTATGGTCATTTTTATAGTGCTTGCTGTGTGACAGGTACTGTTATAAGCCCTTTTTATTTTTCCTATGTAATTCTCACAATAACTCAGAAAAATAATATAATTATATCCTCCATTTTACAGATGAGTAACTGAGATCTCACCTCACACAATGAGTAAATAGCAGGTAGTCTGACTCCAGAGTCCATCATGTTGCTAACTACTATAGTGCATGAGTCTATTGCATGTATTGACAATGGAATGGCAAATTTTCTAGTGTAGGATAGAACAACTCCATTTGGACATTATAAGAAAGTACACTCTGAAAATTAATGTATTTTATTCTCAGGAGCATTTTACTTCTTAGATTGCTTTTTGCATGACTAAAATCCTATTGTTAATTTTTTTGCCAGAAAAACAATAAAGAAAAATACTATTCTGTCAAAAAAACAAACATAAAAAAAGAAATTCATTCAATATATCAATAGCAAGAAGCCAAATCGATGTTCTATAACTACAAAACTCAGAAAAATACTTGCTATGCAAAAGGAGGTTCTACTGAATGGATTTTTCCTTGTTATCTCTCATCACTGCTTACTATATGATGTATCTGATGCTATACATGGAAAGTTAAAATTTAATGTGAAATGTATTTAGAGATAAATGATACAATATCCAAAGAACTATAATAGCTGCAGCTTTTTTCTACCTTCTTTGAAGTATTAATGAATGGTTAAATAAAGCTCAGCTATCAATAATTTTCTAAAAGTTTGAGTATAAGATTTATAATATATACTATCGTCTAAGAATTCTAATTTTAGAAATGTAATTGCTTTATTTCTTAGGTAAAGCATTCTCACTGACCCTTCTCCCTCGTGTCCAAAAACGTTACTTTGCTAGTAGAAAGGAAAAAAATCACAAACCAAGGAAAATTTCTTTAATTCCACTTCTTATAAAGGTAGTAATTTATAGATAGGGAAGCAAGTTACATGTCTAAATATGACCAAAAAATTAAGAATTTTGTAAGTCTCTGTAGCTCAAACACCTCTACCCCCCCCCACTACCGCCAGCCCCTGGCCATTTGAACATGCTAAATAAAACACTAAGAAATATACTCAACCAGAAAGATATAAACCTTCGGAAACTAAAGTTAAAGACTATGATTAATACCAAAGAGCAAAATTTGGGCCTCAAGAAAAACCATCCATTTCTAGGCTTCTTTCAAGATTAGAGCAGGAGTCCAATTAAATACCAACCCAGGGAAGCCCCAGTTGACTCCTGAGTAAATTGAATAGTCTGCAAAATGCCTCTAGTAAATCAAACAAAAGTAGAACACACTGTAGTTAATACAGAACCGAAATGTAGACAAAGGCCATAATGTAATGGCTATAATTTACTTTGCTTGTAACATTACAGAAAGACAAATTACCTTTAAACATGCTTTAAAAATTAGCTTATTTTATTTTTTGAAAGTGTATATAACATACGCTTTTTTGTATGATTTTGTAATATCAAAAACATATCTCAAGAAATATTTAGCACCTTACCTTAGACCAAAGATGTGTGATTGTTCATAATTGAATAGAGAACGAATCTTAGCTTCAGAATTCAAAATTATAAGTCTATCAATAACATTCTGAAAAAGAAAAGATTTAGAGTGAGATCGTGCTTGGCCGAAACCATTTAAAGAAAACCAAATCAACAAATATTTGGATTGTGGTGCTCAAACTTGGCTTTATACTTCAATCACCTAGGGAGGTGTTTTTTTTAAAAAAAAGAATTATCAATGCCTGAGTCTTATCCCTAGAGATTGTGAATTAACTGGCCTATAAATGTGGCCTGGGCATTAAATTTTGTGAAAGTTCCCGAAATGAATTATCAAATGTTCAGCCAAAGTGGAGTATGACTAATTTATACCCTATTCTGATACCGTGTGAATAGCTTATGCAGCCAGTTAAGTAGTAATTAAACAGCTTAAAATGTAAACTACTTTGAAAAACAAATATGAAATATACAAGTATGAAGCATGAACAGATTTGAATAGTTTTATCTAGTAACTATTTGAGACTTTGTTAATAGATATTCTCTGTTCATGTAAATCAGTGGTTTCCAACCCCGGTTGAACACTGGAATCACCTAGAAAACTTATAGATGAGTGGAAAAATAGATTAGATAGATGATTAGATAGATTATTAGACAGACAGACAGACAGACAGATAAAGTGTATGTAGGTAGGTAGGTAAGTAGGTAGGTAGGTAAGTAAGTAGGTAGGTATGTCCTGCCTCTATCCTGGAACAATTTTGTCACTATCTGTGGTAGGGTATGATTCTGGCATTAAAGTCCTTTTAAAAGCTCCCCAAGATGTTGCAATGAGTAACCAGGTATACACATCACTTATATAAGTACAGAGAGAATCTGATGACCTAGGTACCACCAATTGTCCCAAGCAGTGACAATTTAGGCCTATCACGCAATTGTGAGCACTGTGTAAGCCTTTCTCTCTATAATGCCCTGCTTTTGTGTATATCTTTGGGTTCAGGCCTAAGAAATTTATTCACAACACTTGTCTCTCATATTGCTCATTTCCTGACCAAGAAACTTGCTACCCTCCAGTGAATTTAAATTCAAGATATTTCTGTGATCAACAGGGCAAAAGAAGAAAGGTTTCACTAGGGAGTAAAGTCACATAATATTTATTGAGATCTATGTGGATGATAAAACAAATATCACATCATCAAATAAGTAAGAAGCAGGAGAATGAGTTTGTAAGGAAGATGATATAATGGATATATCAAAATCACATTTGAAAAATACTAATCAAAATATAGTAAAAACTAGATTATGTGTAAACTTACTTAGTAAAAAATTATACTAACACTTAGGAATGTATTTACCATCCTACAGATATCTTGTAAAAATATGTAAATAATTTACAATCAGGAAATGTTAAATAAACCGGCTAACAATTGAGAATAAAAAGACTGCTATCTTAAAATAATCTGCCATTGCTGTCTGCTGCTTAGCTGGGCTCTCCTTGTTTCATTACAATAGAATATGAGCTAAGCAACTCATTCATATTCTCAGCCTTATATTCATTTCTCATTAACAGCCCCCTTGCTTTCTCCCTCTCTTTACTAATTTCTCCACTCTGACAGTCCTGATTCAGCTATGGTGACAGAGACACGGAGCTCTCTTTGACTGGCCCAGACACCTGGATACTATTAAATAAGCAGTCTTTGCAGTAGATATATGGAGAGACTTGTTTGCTATGTAGTTCTTCTTCAAATAGGTACATATTTTTACTATTTAATATTGTGATTTTTAAGAAACGATCTATTATCACTTTTTACCATAGTAAATCTTCACAGATTGATCTAGAAATACTTATGTATTACTAGCCTGCTCTTACCTGAGAAGAAAGAGATTGCCAATTAGTTCTCTGAAAGGATTACTCTAGATTTCTCTTCATTTAGAGGGCACTAGTATAAGTGACTGAAATTGGAACAGCTATCTGAATACTAAGCTCTTACTATTTGATAGCAAATAATACCTTGTGACTCAAAAGTTCTAGCTCTGAATCTAGTACTAGATATTGTAAGAATAAAAAAGAGAATGTAATACCACAAGCTAATGGAAGGGTAGATTGCAGCCATATATCAATGATAATGCATTTTCAGAGAACAAACATTACAGTAAATAATTTCTTCTTCAAGAGGATTACATTGATGGATCATCACTTAGGGAGGAAAACAAAACTCCTGGGAAACCTGTCTTATGGAGAACTTCAGTTTCTAAGCACTGAAACACATGTGAGTAAGGCAATCAGTTTCCTAAATCAACGGCTTCCCAGCAACAAGCCAGTGTAAGAAAGGTTTGGGACTCACAAATTGTAGTTTAAAACTCTGTCTTTTTAAAGGACATTATCCAGCTTGAGAATATGTTCAATAATCTAGTAGGTCAGGATGAGAGAGAGATTAGAAAAAACAAACAAGAATATCTATTCTATATAAATAGATACATGTTTGAGTGCCTACCCTGCACTCAACTGTCTCGATGCCTTGTTTATGCTGACCCTTTTTATTTAAGAAAGGGCCCAGTAAAGATCTATCACAATGTTAGTATTTCAGCACTTGCATTACTAGGAGTGGCTTGTGACTGATTAGCCCATGAATGTCTATAAACAAAACTCAGTCTGTTAAGAAGGGTCTGCTATAGCAGAATATCATAGACTGAATGTCTTATAAACAACAAGAATTTTAATTCTCACAGTTCTGGAGGTTGGGAAGTCCAAGATCTAGGTGCCAGAAGATTCTGTGTCTATTAAGGGCCTGCTTTCTGGTTCACAGACAGTCCTTTCATGTATATAGAAAGGGCAAGGGATTCCTCCGGGGTCTTTTTATAAGGCACTAATCACCTCCTTAAGGCCCCACCTCCAAATATCATCACACTAGGAATTAGATTTCAACGTAAGAATTTTAGAGGCATACAGACATTCCGTCTACAGCAAGGAGGTAGAAGAAAACGTGACTCTCCTGTCTGGTGGTACAGTGAATTAAATTGTGACACTGTCCCCACCCCAACCCCAAAAAAGACACCCCCCCTCCCAAAAGAGGGAGATATCTATATCCTAATTCACAGAACCTATGTTTGTTACACTATTTGGGAAAAGGGTCTTTGCAGAGGAAATTAAATTAAGGATCTCGAGGTAAGATGATCCTGGGTTATCCTAGTGGGCCCCAAATCAAATGACAAGTGTAGTGTCCTTATAAGAGAAAGACAAAAAGAGATGTAAGACAGAGGAGAAGACCTTGTGAAATGGATGCAGAAGGAGAGTTGTGCAGCAACGAGCCATGAAATTCCTGGAACCACTAAAAGCCGGAAGAGGCAAGGAAGGATTCTCCCTGGAGACTTCGGAGGGAATGGGGCCCTGCTGACACCTTGATTTCAGACTCCTGGCATCCATAACTGTGAGAGAATAAATTTCTGTTGTTTTAAGCTATGTAGTTTATAGTAATTTGTTATGGAAGCCCTAGAAAACTAATACAGGGGAGATGGTGAAGACATCAGTATGGAGTAACAGGTAGTCCAGTATCCTCTCCTAGAGAATGCCATCCGAGAAGAACATACTAATGATAATTACAGCAAAAAGTTATATAGCATCTATCTGCCAGGCAGTGGTTTAAACTTTTATATTTAACTCGGGTCATTTAATTGTCACATTTAATTGTCCTGAGATAGGAATGTTATTACCTTCTTTTAATAGAGAAGAAAACTAAGATCTAACTTGTCTAAAGTCACACAGCTTTTAAGAGGCAGAACCAGACTCTAACCCAGTCAGTCTGGCTTCAGAATACAAACACTTAACAAGTAAACTATGTATATGCCTTACAATAAAGCCAAGATAGTAATAATAGGAAAGGGTACAAGTTTGATAAAGGGGGGGACCATCAGAGACAGACAGACAGATGTGGACCTGACTGCATTTCAAAGTTCTATTTCCACTTGTCCTTGATTTTCCTACAATTTGGTTATGAAAGTCAATAGATTTCTTCTTCTTCCTAAACTAACTCAAATTGAATTCTCCAATAATGAAAAGGATCTTACCTAATACACCACTTATGTAACTCAAAGTTAAGTGACAGAAACTGAAAAGCAATTGAAAATTGTACCTGTTAGAGGGAAAGAATATTTGCATCATTCACCTTTAATATACTAAAGTACAACCAAAGAGTTGTTCACAGGGCCTAGAGTTCTGGTAGATACCTGATACAAAGCTATGAAAACTTAAGGCCAAATATCCCTAAAATATAAAGAATTTCCTCAAATTGGGGAGAAAAAAAGTAGCATGAATAGAAAAATAGCAAAAATGAACTGAAAGACCATAAAGAGAGGAAGAAATGCCAATGGCGAAATATGAAAAGATTTTTGGTTCATCATAAGGAAAATATAAATCAACACTTCTCTCCCGTCTGACAAATATGTAGACCTCTGACCACATATAATCTTCTTAATGAGTCTGCCAGAAAACAAGCACTATCATATTTTATTCAGGGGAATGCAGAAGGATTATTCCCTGTGGGTGAAAATTTAGCAATATATACCAAAATTACATTTTTGTATTTATTGAATTTATCTCGACCCAGTTATTCCACTTCTAGAAATCTAGCTCAGAGATACTGTGGTAGGCAGAATTCTAAGATGGCTGTAAGGTCTTAAAAACTAATGAAGGTACTGCTGTGAAAAGATTTTTACAGATGTAATTAGTCCCTAATTAGTTTTATTTAAAATAGGAGAGAAAAATATATAAGACGTAAAGAAAGCAAATGTCCACCATAGATGAATGGATGAATAAACTATACCTCATCCATATAATAGAGTACTATACGATTATTAAAAAGGATGAGGACAAGCTCTATGTGCTATGGAATCATCTCAAAGACAGAATTAAAAGAAAAGCAAAGGACAGAACAGTGTTTATAGTAAACTGCCTTTTGCTTAAAAAATCTGGGGACGTAGGATAAACATAAAACTAATAAAAATGGTCAGCTACAAAGTAGTGTGGTAGAACAGAACTTTCTGCAATAATGGGAATGTCCTCTCTGTGTGCTGTCCAGTGTGATAGCCATTACCACATGTGGCTTAGTGGGCGCTTGAAATCTTAAAATATGAATCGTACTTAAAATGAATTTCTAACCTTATTTATTTGTAATTAATCTAAGTTAATCTAAATATATACATGTGGCTAATAGCTATTATATTGAAAATCAAACTCTATGGGAAGAGAAGAAAAAGGGAATTAATATGTGAGGACATTATGTGAATATACCTTGTTATATATGGGAATTGCATATTTTTCTATAACTTAAAAGACAAAATTCAGACAATAAAGAAAAATGGAAAACAATCTCTCTAAATTTAAAACATTCTCAAACAAAACCAATCTATCAAGTTAGTGGGACAACCAGGACAAGTAGAGATTTACTTACTGCAAATGACTTTAAAACACAATATTTTGACTATAAGTTCCCAGTGGCATATATTCTAAGGACAAAATTAACTGAAAAGAAATGTCAGTATGCATTCACTAATCTTATTTTGGAACTATCATATGTAAATTGTACAATAAAATAAGTGATTTTGTTCATGTATTAGGAACCAAATTTTTCAGTGAAAGAGAAAAATATATAAGCATATAAGAAATATCAATATAGGCTCATGATTAATTTTTCTCTTAAAAATAAAAACTATATATGATCCAGCAATACCTCTACTGGGTATTTACCCCAAAGACTCGAAAACATATAGCTGAAAAGATATTTGCACACCAATGTTCATAGCAGCATTATTCACAGTGGCCAGGACATGGAAGCAACTGAAGTGCCCTACAACAGATGACTGGATAAAGACGCTGTGGTACATATATATATACAATGGAATAGTATTCAGCCATAAAAAGAGATGAAATTCTGTCATTTACAACAACACGGATGGACCTCGAGATAATCATGACAGAAAGAAATCTAACTATGGGCAGTGAACACACAATGCAATATACATATGCCTTACTGTTGAATTGTACACCTGACACTTGCTGGATTTCATTAATCGATGTTACCATAATAAAAATAAATAAAAAACAAAATAAAAAATAAATAAATAAAAACAATTTTTCCTTTTTGGCTGTCCACTGAACAGGTTATAATTTCTAAATAACACTTCTTACTAAAAGGACAAGGACTCACTGAAGATGGCTGATTCCAGGCTGAGCCAGAAAATGTGTACGCTAAGCCTGGAACATCTTATATAAGAAAGCAAAAAAGCAAAATATAAAAAATGAATAAATATATGTCAAAAGGACTCAGCAGTCAAAAAAGAAATAAATTGATCATTAAAAATAATAATCCCTACATTGGATTGAAACATAAACATTTTTAGTAAAAACTAAAAGTTGATAATGATAATAATAAAATCTCCCTTTGGGGGATACTACAGCACCAATTCATTATCCTGAAATTTTATTTAAAAAATAAAATAAGTGAAACATTTATTCTGTCATTGCTAAAAGAACTGTATTTCAGGGTTTCCTTTATTGAATAATTCCAGTTAGATACAAAAAGAATGACAGAACTAGAATCACCATTTCACATCTCCTAAGGAAACAATTAATCAATGTAACCCAGGACAAATAATACAGTTTCTCCAATAAATCAATGGCATGAAAACAGAAAGGGAGGGGGAACTGTTTTAGAATAAAAAGAGACTTAAAAGACATAATGACTGAATGTAATAGGTGAACCTTGTTCGGATCATGACTTGACCAACTGTAAAAAAGGATATCTTTGAGACATCAAAGGAAACTTCTATATAGATGACATATTAGATAATATTAAGGTTTTATAGCTAATATTTTAGATATGACAAAGCCAGAATGGTTTACAGGGTAGTAATCTAAATCAAAATAAAACCTCTAAAAGTCCCTTTCAGTTAGAGGTAAGTTATTTACAGATAAATTGACATTATGCTCAAAATATGCTTTACAATTCTCCGGTGGGGAAAAAGGCAAGAGTAAAGGAGAAGAAACTGGAAAATAATTGGAGAATAGATGGAAGAACATGACAGAATGTTGATAAAAGGTGCAGTTTAGTGAGTGGAATATGGGGAGTTCATTATACTGTTTTTTAATGTAAATTTGAAAATGTCCACAAAATAAAGCCCATACATGTGCCTCTGTATGTGTGCGTGCACGCGCGCGCGCGCGCGCACACACACACACACACACACACACACATGGCTCTTCAGTATCACTCTTTAGGGGTCCTGACATCATGGGACTTCCAGAGAAAATATAAAGTTATTGAATTAAATCCTTTTGAATAAAGCCTAAGAGGGACCCAACTTGTTAAGAGTCTAGCCAAGAAGAAATAATAAAACAGTGAGGTTATTGAGAACCTACCATGCTCATAGGAGAAAAAAAAAATCCAAAAAACAAAAATAAATAAATAAAACCCAAATTGCTAGACTTTCAGGGCAAAAGACAAATATGACATAGTTCTTCTCCTTATGTATCTTATGGTCTATTAGAAGAGACAATACATAAATAATAAAATAATGTGGCACATATTTTATTCATGGACAAGGTGCTACGAGCGTACATGAAGAGGAACTCAGAAAGGGCGGCTACAGAGGAAGGACAAAGAAGACTTCAGAGAAGGAGTAAAGCATGAACAAGTCCTAAAGAATGAGGAGACACTATCTAGCTAAAAAGCAAGATTATATACCTTTCAGATTCCAGAGAAAGAAAGAAACTTGTCCAAAAACGATGAACGTTAGAGAGTAGAAGGTAAGAGGAGAAAAAAAGAGGACTTTGAGAAATAAGGAGAAGCTGAAGGCCATGCAAAGGAACATAGAATATGTATGGAGGTAATGGGAAATCAGCAAAGATTTTAAACAACAGAATAGCTGCAGTTGATTTTCATTTTTAAAGGACCATTTTGAGAACAAATTAGTATGAGGATAGAGGTTGAGAATGGAAGAAAAAGAGCAATTAGAATCTCATCGAAGTAATCTATCAAGAAATGAAGGTCAGAGCTAAGGTGGTCTGAACAGGAATAGAAAAGTAAACAAGATCCAGTTATCAGGGAGGTAAAATATATATAAATTATAATTAACTACATCTATAGAAATAAGAGTCAACAATGAATTTCAGGTTTCTAGCTTATTCAACTGTGTGGACAATGGTGACATATACTGAGGCAGGAAATGGAATTGATTTAGGATACAGAAAACTTTCTATGCAGTTGTAGACATGGTAAGACTAAGATGCCTATGAGTTTTCCAGATATCCATTGTTTAGAAGAAATCTGGGTATAGATCTGGCAGTCAAATGAATGATACAGGTCAGAGATTTGTCAGTGTACAACTGAAACCATAGAATTCAATGTGATCAACCTGGAAGACATAAGACAGACAGAAGAAAAGTCCTCAAAGAAGACCAACGATGCAGGAGAGGCCAAGAAGCTGGTCAAGAAGAAGCAGTACCACAGTCATAGAAGAGAGTGACAACAGAATGATTGAATCAACTGGTCCAAATGCCACAAGGTGGTAAATTAGTTAAAGGAATGGGGAGGTTCCTTTGAGTAAAGGAATTGCATATTTACTGGTGACTTCTGACAGAACAATTTCAGTTAAATAATTGAGCAAGACACCAGATTACAGTTGCTCCTGGAGCCGATAGACAAGAAAGCAGAGACTTAAAATATAGACAATTTTTTTCAGGAAGTTTTTCAAGGGGAAAACTAAAAAGAAAACCATACATAGAGTGATAGCTAAAGGAAGACACGGGTCAAGGGAGCTATTGTTTATTTTAATAGATTTTAACATGTTTAAATGATGATGGGAAGCAGTGACTCTTCTATAAGGTTACAATAATGTTGTTAGGAGAGGTGGAATAACAAAGCTATTCACAGTTAAGTATTTTAAAACTAAAAGACAAAGCCTTCCCTAAGTGGAAAGATATCTTTCAATAAGCGCTACAGATAACCCTGAAAACTTAACAGAACAAATATCCAAACCATTGTTCTAGATAAAATAATGCAATTCATTTGTACTAATTCCCATAATCAGTTTCAGTAAAGGCAATAATACTAGGAATATTTTCAAAGACCATTCACTGGACTTCTACTATGTTCTAGATTCTAAGGTTGACTAAGATATCCTACTTGCTCTCGGACACTCACAGTGTAGCAGGAAAGACAGGCACATAAATGGCTAATTATAAAAGTACTTAAGAAGTGCTAACAGATAAGTAAGCACAATATAAAACTGGATCATTTCAAAGAAGAGAATATAAAAAGTTTAATGACAGAAGTATTTATCTTTATATTTTATTCATATAAATTATCGAAAATTTCCCAAAGTAGAGAAAGTTTTAAAAAATTAAAATGTTTAGTATTAATAAGAATTCAAAGTACTCAAAAAAGTAAAACTGTACAAAACGCCACCATATAGACGAATGACCAGAAAAACAAAAAGGATTAATAATAGAATTTCAGTATTAATCAAATAATTCTTTACAAATGCATATGTGTACATATTTATATTTATGTGTCTAATTCATAAATTTATCCAAAAATGAGGAAGTAAATATCTCTGGATGATGAGAACAAGATATCCATCTGAAAGTATTAACATAAAATAAGTCTCAGATTAAATAAATATGTATATACTGCCCTCATGGGCCAGTAACATATATTTCATTAAAATATAAGGAGAAAATGTATTAGACTTTTTAAATACAGTTTATTTCTAATTATTCTAGCCAATAAAGGAATAGCACCAGTATGACTAATAATATAATTTCATACACATACTTCTATTTATACCACATCTCTTTCCTTGTTGAGGAGTGTTAACACTCTATTCATTCCGATAGGTATTGCAACTGTTAGGTGTCCTGGATCAAAGATTCCATTCACAGATAATTCAGAAGCTGATATTCCATGGGTAAATGTATCAGCCTTTGAATATCATTAAATAGTGTTCTTTTTTTTCTGTCAAATTGCATTTTTACTACAAATCTCAAAAAGTATCGTTTATAAAAGGGAAAGATTAAAATAAAATGACTTACAATAACACCCGTTGGGACTTCACGAAGAGAGTATTCTGTTTTATTAGGAAGATCTTGATTGCCTATCAGCTCATAAAAAGCAGGATAAGATAGCAAGTTCACCAGTGCTAGAAAAGACTAGGATGGAAGGAGAAAGAAAACAGTCATTTAAATGGTTCATTTTTTTCTAACCACATCCATGGAAGAATCGTTAAATGAAGTTTTATAGCAGTAGACTACAAGGGTTAGTTTTTCAAATAAGCCTAATTAATCTACATAAAGGTGAAATACGTACATAAATATAAAATAGTTACCATTAACAAGAATCTATGTGTTGACAATACATAATAACAGTCGTAACAAAACATACTTGAGAGTTGGAAAATGTATTAAGATATCATGTATCTCTTGAAAAGTTTGATTCTGAGAAAAAAAATTAAAGGATCTATGTTTTCTTTGCATCTGTTATTCTGATGTGTAAGACAATATAAGAGAATAACACTTAGGGGCTCTGGAGCAAGATAATAAATTCTATATATTCTTTACTTAGGTCACAAGGCCATCTTTATCCTTTAACTACATTCTCTGTAAATACAACTATCCTAATCATAGTAAATTTAAGAAAGCCATGGCTTTTCCTATCAAAACCAGCTCATTTTCCAGTGCAATCTTATCAAGTTAATCCCTGTGAAATCTTTAAGTTCCCAATCTCATTTCCTTTTATTAAAGGCAATCTGAATATTTTTCTCAGGCACATTTCATTATTTGGATTCTCTGTGCAAAAGAATGCGTGGTTGCCTATTAGTAAACATCAAATCTAAACTCCTCGGCATGACTTTCAAGGCGCTTTACTAATTGACACCCACCTTCTCTTAACAGTTATCAAAAGCTTCATTTCCCATTACCCCTCAGCATGAAGTCACCACTTCAGTCAATCAAATCTGCCTGTGGGCTCCTTCAACTGACTGCCACATAAACTTTTCTTATCTACTAACATGTTTTTCCTGCCCTCTCACATACTCATTATCCCATTTCATAAGCTTTCAAAAGTTTGCCCCCTCTTTCTCTAGAAGGCTTTCCAAATAACTTTATCTGCCTCTAGAATCCTTACATTCCAATACCTGTATGTTTACTTTGTCCTATATTAACTACTTATTTGTAACTATAATGCTTGCTGCTTGTCATTTTTAAATTTTCCCTAGACTCAGAAAATTTAAGAATCAAATTAAGAATTTTCACTAAAATCAGAATATTGAGAAAATTAAAAAGAACAGTTAATTCAATCTCTCATTTAATAGATGAGAGAACTTGAGGACCAGCCAAGTGAAGAGACTTTAGCAAAGTCACACACTATCAGAAAGTTGGTCATAAACTAATTTATTATATTTTCTTATTTTCAGGCTAAGGTTACTCATTACAAATCACTATATAATCTTCAGATGCTATTTAACAGTGTCACCTTGTTTCACAGCCTTTGTTTGAGGACCTGTAAGGTAGAGGCCATTTTATAACCCTCTTATTATACCAAATGTAATGCTATTTAACTGTGGCTAAGTAAATACATTTAACACACAGTAGCTTTTAACAAATGCTGCAGTAGGATGAAAAATGAACTCACATCAAGTTTTTTAAAAGTTTCCTTTTTTCCCCATAAATTTTCCATAAAATGAAGATTTCCTTTCTAAAAAGGGAATCAACATATTTATAATTTAAAGTTAATATCTATTCAGATAGCAATAACATTATCATAGAGTAGAATAAATTTAATAGCCTAGTAGCCATTTACTGAATGCCTATTTAAAGGAAACACTATGCTAAAAGCATGCACTATAAAGGAGGAAGAAAAAAATTTATGTCAAGGAAAGAATGTATGAGGAATATCTATTAATTATATATAAAATGAAATGCAGCAAAACTAGAGAATTCACAGCCATGTAGGGAACCACTGTAAAAATTCACTAATCACCAGGGTGTTGACTAGAAAGATAAAACAGATGCCATAAGTTTTATTTTTAATTTATCAAAATATAAGCTAAAATGCATAATTTGAATATGCAAATATTTCATAAACGTTCTTAATATTAATCCAGCAATATTCAGATACTATCCTAAATAAGTCTTTTATGTTTAAAACACCCTTTCCATCTATTATAACAATGACAGATTATTTTTAAAAACTTAATAAGTGTCCTTTTTGACATTTGACATTATCCATAGAAGTATGGTCTTTACAAATCATGTATATCAATATTATGTTGAGAATTTTTGTGCTATTTACACATGAAGAATTCCATTGTTGTTTATGAAACCTCCCTACTTCCACCTGAGAAATAAAACAATGTGGACCACATAACAGAATCATAACTTTTGATATGCTACTCTAATATTACATTGAACTCTAGGTGAAAACTATTTAGTAATTGTATTTGAACTAAAACAATCTAAACAGAATTTTAAAGAAACTTAAGATTTCAGCATTTTGTTTCTAGGAGAAACAAATCAATTTTTCACACGCTGAGCATTTTTTTGCCTTTTTTTTTTTTTTTACGCCTACAACACCTGGTATTCCTAGGTGGTCGCCTGTCCAAGTACTAACCAGGCCCAACCCTGATTAGCTTCCGAGATCAGACAAGATTGGACACGTTCCGGGTGGCATGGCCATAGACCATACTGAGGATTTTTAAAAGATATTAGCATACTGCAAAATTGTGATGTTAAGCACTTCTAGAGCTCAAGAAAATATTTATAATGTAATCACTGGTTCCCACAAGAATAACATAAGATGTTACTATCAGATATTAATTATCCTAAAATTTATATTAGCATAAAATATATTTCTATTTCATCAATGGTTTGAAGAAAATAATGGGGTTCTATTATTTGAAAAGTAAAGGAAGGTCAAATGTTTGATATATTTTAAAACTACAGCACAAAATTAAGCCTAAAACCAAGAATTTTTCTTATGAATTAAAAACTCTTCAGGTTGATAATGATTATCTATTCACTTAATTATCCATTCAAAATATTTTAATGCTGGCTGCTTATCAGCAAGTTTACTAGATGCTAAGAATAAAAATATGAATGAAAAATGATCCCTGCCCCCAAGGACTCACAGTGTAAGACAGGACAAATACACTATTAGATGATTTAAAACAATGCTCAAAATGACCTGCTGGTATTGTATTCCAGAGAGGAGTGGGAAGATATTGGGAGGATGACATTCCACAGCAAAGCAAGAAGTGAGAGACATGGCTGCAAAGGCAGCAAGCAGGAAGGCAGGAGGGTATGTGCTGTGTTAATGAGCTCTATCTTTATCCTCTAACAAAAGGAAATAAATTGTTTTCAGAAAAGTAATGAAAATTATATTTTATATTTTAGATAGAATGCTATGAATGAAAATGTTTTTGAGTGGACAAAATTAGGAAAAAAAACAAATTAGGATTTGGAAGTAATAGAATGACTAAGTACTAAGTACTAAGTACTAAGCAAGATGTATCAGTTATACCTACTATACCAGAGATGTATTTTTAAAGTGTTAAATAATCTGAGAGTGATTCAAAGAAAGTTTTTTGATTTAGATGAAAAATCAAACCATTATCAAATATAGTTTTACACATCTTTCCAATCTATAGGCCTTCTATTTTTGTTCTTGCCTTATTGCATTAAGACCTAAAACAATATTGAGTAAAAGTGGCTAAGAGTGAACAAATTTTAGGTTCAATATTTCACTATTGCTGAAGAGGTATGTTTTTCAAAGATAATATTTATCAGTTTGAGGATTAAATCTGCTGAGTTTTTATAAATGAGTATTAAATTTTCTCAAATGCCGTTTCCACATCTATTGAAATCAGTGTATGACTTTTCTCTTTATTATGTTAATATGGTGAATTATAGTTTCATTTTACAATGTTAATCCAACTTTATATGGCTGGGATAAACCCCACTTGATCATAATGATCCTTTTTTATTGGTTGATATAATTTGAAAATATTTTGTTAAATATTTTTAAGTTGATATTCAATAAAAATATTGGTCTGTAATTTTCTTTTTTGGTAAAATTTATGTCTTTTTGCCACATCAGGGTTATGCCGAACTCAAAACATAAGTTTGAAACTGATTCCTATACCCTTGTTTTCTGAAAGAACTTGTGTATGATTGGTGCTCTTTCTCTTATCTTTAAAAGTTTTATAGAATTCACCAGTGAAACTATCTGATTTTCTTTGTGGGAAGGTTTTTGATAATTTACTTTCTTTAACTGATATATACCTTTTTAGATTTTCTATTTTTTACTGGGTCAGTTTGGGTAAGCATATTTTTTAAGAAGTTTGCCAATTTTATCTTAGTTGTTGAATTCATGGCATAAAGTTGATCATAAAATTCCTTTATTGTTCTTTAATATTTGTGAGATCTTAAGTGACAGCCTCCTCTTTCATTCTTTATATTAGTAATTTTAGGTCTCTCATTTTCTTGATCAGTCTGGCTAGGGTTTTATAATCTTTAATAATCACTTCAAAAAACCATCTTTTGGTTTTGTTACTTTTCTCTAATTTATCGTTTTTCTGTTCTATTGATTTCTACTCGAATATTTATTATGTCTTTTCTTCCATGCACTTTGGGTATAATTTGCTCTTCTTTTTCTAGTTATTTAGACAGTAACTTGAATCATTAATTTTAGATATTTCTTACTTTGTAATATTAAAGCTAAAAATATCCCTCTTAGCTTTATTTCAGCTATATTCACATTTTTTTTATATACTGTATTTTTATTTTTATACAGTTGAAATATCTCTAAAATCCCTTGTGACTTCCTCTTTGAGCTACATGGTATTTGGTAACATGTTATTTCCAAATAATTGTTTTTTTTTTTTTATTTTTTAGCTCTTGATATTTAATTAAGTCCATTGTGGTTAAAGAAAATACTTTGTATTATTTCATTCATCTTAAATTTATTTAGACTTGCATTCTAGCCTAGCAACAGCCTCTCTTGGTGAGTATGCCATGTGCTCCTGAAAAGAATGTATTCTGCAGTCATTCAATATAGTATTGTATAAAGAACTATTAGATCAAGTGATCAGTAGTAGTAGTTAAACGGTATACCTCAGAACAGATTTAAAGATATGAAATCAACTGTTAAAACAGGAATGTTAAAATCTTCGACTGTGAATGTAGATTTACCTATTTCTTCCTTAAATTCTATTTTAATACTTCATATATTTTGAATCTGATTTCTAAGAATATAACTGACTTATGTTATTTTGTATCTTCTTGATACATTGCTCATATTATCATATAGACATGTTTTCCTTAATCTCTGATTTTTTTTTTTTATATCCGATATTAAATATGGCCATTCTAGTCTTCTTTTTTTCTCTGGTATGTCTTTTCATTGATATCTTCTTGATACATTGCTCATATTATCATACAGATATGTTTTCCTTAATCTCTGATTTTTTTTTTATATCCGATATTAAATATGGCCGTTCTAGTCTTCTTTTTTCCTCTGGTATGTCTTTTCATTGATTAACTTAACCTTTTTTTTTTTTTTTAATTTAAAGTGAGTTTTTTAAAGTTAGTATATAGTTCCTTTCTTATTCAACCTGAAAATCTCTGCATTTTAATTAGGATATTTAGTTCACTTATATTTAAAGTGACTGTTGATTAGGGCTACTATTTTTCTATTTGTTCTGTTTTTCCTGTGTTTTCTCTTCCTTTGCTCTTTCCTCTCTAGCTTTTTACATTTTTCTTTTTTTGGGGGTGGGGGGGATTTTGTTTTTTAGAGATGCCTCTTTGCATTTTTTCTTAGTGGTTTTTCTAGGTTAGTGTCCTCCAATAAAACAATTTCTGATGATGGAAATGTTATGTAATCTGAACTGTACAATATGATAATCACTAGCTACCTGTGGTATTGAGCACTTAAGAGATGATAGATTCTGTTGTATTCCCCAAAGAGTGCTGTTTCTAATTTAGTAGATGATGTGGCTAAACCCAAACTCTAATGTAATGGGGAGGTTGAATTTTTAACTTAAGTTTAAATTTAAATTTACATAGCCACATGGGACTATCATATTGCAAAGTTCAGCTATAGAGAGTAAGACAAGGGAGGAGGGGGCTGGAAGTAAGTTTTTTAATGTAGCTCATTATATATTGAGGTCACATTGTTTTCCAAATTAAAATGACAAAATAAAATTAAATCCCAAAAGACAACAGAATTCCTAGGGGATATTTAGAACTATAAACTGTGCATTAAGAATTTTTACTCTTATGAGTTATTATTTCTAGATCTTTCAGTGCATAGTTTAGGGGAATACACAATTTTTTTTAAAGAGAAAAGTTAATCGAAGTTTATACTAAATTTCTAATAAAAATCAAAGAAGTTTAATAAACCCCTGTAACCTTAAATTTAAATCAAAACTATTTGCTAGAGATTAAGAATGTTGTGCTACTTTACATAAAATGTGAAAAAAAATTGTAACCAGATTTGTTTACCATTCTCTTGTTCTGTAAAGTATAGCTGTCATAGGTATTACTTCAAAGTATTAAAAAAAAAAACCCACCATATGTCACTATTCTTTTAGAGACACATGTGTTTACAAGAAGAAAAAAATAATAGGTTTTTATACTCATTCATCTTCTTGCAATTTCTTCTTTTAATCCTAAAAACCAAAATATCTGCAATCATTTTCCTTCGACCTGAGGAAATTCTTTTAGTATTATTTAAAATGCAGGTCTGCTGTAAATTATTTATTTAGATTTAATTTGTAAATTTCACTTTTTTATTCTTAAAGAGTATTTCTGGTGAATAGAAATTTAGATTGACTTTAGTTTTTCTCCTTTCAGTACATTCTTTGTCTTATGGCCTCCACTGTTTCTAAAGAAGTATCAGCAAACTTTTTTGCTGTTCCCCTGTAATTTATGTAATGTGTAATTTTCTATGGCATCATTCAATATTTCTTCTTTATTTTTAGTTTTCATGTGTTCATATATCTATAGTCAACCTTGCTGTGGTTTCTTTGCAATTTCATTATTTGCATATATTCTTCCTTGAGATTCACTGTTTCTTAATCTATAAGTTTATATATTTTCATACATTTAGAAATTTTCAGCTATTACTTATTCTAATATTTTTCTGCCCCATTCCTTTTGTATTCCATCACACATGTTAAATCTGTGGATAAGATCTCACAAATCACACAAGTTTTTCCTAATTTTTTTCTCTCTGTTCTTCAGATTGTATAATTTCTATTGATTAAGTAAACTTGTCATCTCTAAATCTTCCATCAAAATCATATAGAAAATTATTTCAGAAAATAAAATTTTTAGCTCTAGAATCTCCATATGGCTCTTATTTATAGTTCCTACTTCTCTACTATGATTTCTAATTTGTTCATTTATCACCAGCATATTTTCTTTTACATTATATTTATTAATAACTGCTTAAAAATCTTTAACAAATAATTTCAATCTCATCATTTCACAGTTAATCTCTATTATTTGCCTTTTTCTGGACTTTGAATCACATTTTTCTGTTTCTTCACATCTAATAATTTTTTGATTTTATTCCATACATTGTGAAGAATATGATGCAGAAACACTGGATTTTGTTATTCTCCAAAGAGTACTGATTCTAATTTAGTAGTTGATGGGGTTAAACAACTTAAACTCTCTCTTAATTCTGACCACTGTGGTAGAGCATGTGATATCTGTGAAGTTCAAGTGCACAGTTCAGGGGACAGTGACATATTTAGACAGACTGTATACACAGGTTGGAGCACTTTCTGTGTTCCTCTTTAATTTCAAGGAATCTCCTTCCACTTCCCAGTTTCTCTAAGACCCTAAACCTTGTCTTCTGGTTTTACAATCTCGTTAGAGTATAAATTTCTATCTGGGAAGCACCAAGTTGTACTTCTCCTCATGTGAAAATTTGTTAAATCCAGAATCTTGAGCAGTATGGTTCTCTTCATCTATATTAATTCCTCTCCATTTCTTACTTATTTTTTAAACGGTTGAATTTTAAGTTATTTTCCTGAGTTTGCATTTTCTACTGGAAGGAATCAGTCTACTAATACAGAAAGCAGAATGTTTTGTTTTTTTTCTTAATTTTGATAATTTTATGACACCCTCTGAATAAAAATTTCCCAGGCTATCATAAAGTCAAAGTCAGAAATCATCATTTCATTTTAGTGAAATTTGGAGAACATATCAAATATATAAAAGTCATTAAATTAGAATATTGTGTGGGTGCTTAAGAGGTTCTTGTGTGGAGTTTATTTTGGCCATATTACTCTTAATGATAGCATCTTCTCTGTCTATCCTTTCTTCAAATAATCCTAACAATTTTCTATTAGATTTGAGTTCAAGGGGAAAATGCTTCCTTACTATTTTGTTTTGATCAGCTGGCTTTTGTTTCAGAGTTCTTTGTGTTTGTTCATTTTGTAACAAAATCATAGTAAAAACATAAATATAAATTTTTTATATCATTGTATAAAAAAAAAAATCTTTCCAAAACATAATTCCCAAAGAATATTGGTGTTTCTATCATTCACTAAATTTATTGTGAATTTTTTTTTTTTTAAATTAGAAATGAAAAAAAGGAGAGAAAAGAAAAAATTAGGAAAGGCTGCTGGTTGTAACTGAATATCGATAAAGTCTGGATAAAGTAATTTCTGAGAGATATACTTAAAATCTCTATATTATTATATAAGTCAAATCATGTCTTACCTTTTGACAGCTTCGGTCAATAGGATCCACCGGAGTAGATCTTGGATGGGTTACTCTAACATCATCTCTTCCACATTCCAGATTGGCCCATAATTCAGTTATAAGCGCATTAATGAACCCTAAAAAAGGATTGTTTTACATCATATTCATAGTATACTATTTCTTTGGATTATGAAGGAAAGATACAATTATTCCTCAAACAAGACTGGTCCACACCGACAAAAGACATGAAATAACCTCTAACCTTGATAGAAATTATATCTGTGATTGTTAATATACCTTTATGATACTTCATTACTATAAAACTAGAATGATGAAATTTTGAAAGACTATTTCCCTGTAGGGCTGAATGTTGAGTCCTAGCTTTTAATCTCTGGCCAATAACTTCTCTGAGAATGTTTTCTAAAAAAATAATATTTATGCTTTACTCTGCAAATGAGCCAACAGTGAAAGGCAGCCTGAAAGGTTGGGGGAGGGGCACAGGTATTAGGAGGCAGGGTAGGTGTCCAAAGAGTACAAGTGTTTCCTTATTATAATTATTTTTTTGTAATTCCATATGCTTAGAACATTTCTCCATTTCACATAACTTTTGGCTCAGTGCAGTCTTTAAATTCTCATGAGTCAGATACTATAATTCTAAATGAAAGTGATTATTAAACCTAATGATTAAAACCTTTATGAAGAATCAAATCATAAGAAAAAGTATAAAACAGAACACTTAATCATAAAATCAGTAGGTCTGCAATAGCATTAGAGCAGAAAGAGCACCTTGATATAACAGAAAAAATATAGGCTCCGAAATTGAGACTATGAGTATTCAAAACGCAAATCTGCCAGCTTATTAGGTGCATGTCCTTAGACAAATCCCTTGACTTCTTAAGAGCATCAGTCCCCCAGTGTGAAAACTGAAAATAACAGTGCTACATTCAAGGTCTGCTATGAAGTATAAATGGGATCATATGTGTAGAGTTCCTAATATAGTACCTAAGACATTATAGGAACTCAAGCAGTGTTAGTCTTCCTTCCTTTGTCCTGTGAAAAACTGCATTTAACCTTCTCATGAAGTTTGATACTGTGAGGCTCAAAAGTTTAATGACTTGACCAACAGGGAAATCTGAGTTGAGATTAAATCTAGTCCCCAAATGTTTTCATTACTATGACCTGAGTAATATAATAAATTAGATTTTATTATAAGTAGAAGAAAAAATAAGTGGTTTAGCTTAGACAACTTCTGCCAAGAAACATGTTTCATAATACTAGTAGTATTTATTAGTTCAGACAAAAAAAAAAAATACTTAAAATTTGCTACAGAAAAATATTTTTATTTAAGGAGAGAATCAATAGTGACCTCTGATGTTATGATTCATCAATTCTAAGCCTTAAAAATATAATCATAACATCTCTATTAGAGATTACATCTTATGTCTGGTTCAGGGGTCAGATAACCTTAAGATATGATACATTAAGTTCCCAATATTTGATCTTCTTAGAAATCCAATCCATGGTGGATAATATATGCCAACTGAAAACTGCAAAGACAGTGGTGAAAGTTAAATGGAGAGAGGGAAGCTTTCAAGAAGGGAAGAGGAAAAAAAGAAGTAAGGAAATGATATGTATGTGTGCTAACTAAATTTTATGCATATATAAGCCATTGAAACTAACATTAAGAAATCCTATCAGATGCAATTGTACTGACAGAAGATGATATCCTTTTGATTTATAAGATGAAGGTGACTTCTTAAAGCATCAAGTATTTCTCAGTTTAGTTCATTACGTGTCACTGTTCTGAGAAAGGAGAACAGGGTTTTATGTGTTTCAAAGGAAAAGGAAATTCCCAGTGGGATTTCGTGGAAAAGAAAAGATAAAACAGAAATCTAATAACTTTCTTTTACTTAAGGCCTAACTTGGGAAAAATAACTTTGGAGCAATATTCTGATACTTGACCATGCCAGTTAAATTTTCCATTGGTTTGCCCATTTTATTTAAATAATTATAATTCTAGTTAAAAGAAAAAACTTACCTGAACTTTGCAGTGCTATTGCACCTGCTGCTGTTGATGCCACTTGTGTAACCAAAACTCCATAGCCAAATTTTTTATGCCTGCTGATCTAAACATAAATAAGGAATAATAGTGAGAAGCCGAATATATAGCACGTTAATGTTTTATTTATGTTACATGTAGAGTTATTGATTTTTTAAAAAATTAGAACACTAGACATTCTTTCAAGATAACAAGACTAGCAAAAACAAACTCAGAAATTATAACAATGAGTGAATACTAATTTAATATTTTTGACGATCTTATTTCAGATCTATTTTCTGGTCCTCCCCCTGAAATTAAGTAGCTTTTGGACCTTGAATAAGTTACTTCTCTCTCTAAGTCTAAGTCTCTTCATACATAAAATAAGAGACTTTGACCAGAGGTAAAATAACATTCCTACCACCTCTAAATTCTATGATCTTATTATTTTATACTTTAGGTTGGTTCTTCATTAATAACTCTGTATTGACTGCCAATTTTTTAACTGGGCTTTTAAATAATCAAACAACTTTAAAAAGGACTATGGTATCTCCTTAAAAATGACAATTATTTTTAGAGGTAATGTGATTTTTCCCCCCTAAGGAAGGGAATTTATACACACACACACACACGCACACACACACACACACACACACAGACAAAGAATGCTCATCATTAATATACAGGTTTCTAAACAGGGCTGCAGAAACCTTAAATAATTTCTTATTTCACAAAGAGTATTATACATGTACTTATGGTACCGTACAGAAGTGAGAATCTCCCTTAGCAGAAATCAGAATAAGGAAGTAAGACATTATAAAATGGTCTTCCTTCTCAGACTTTGGCTAAGATCAGATCGGCTTATAAGACATTTGACTTCTAAACAGGTAACCTTTAGAATTTATATTTTTTCAACATTTCATAAAAAGGATCTGTTTTAATCAAATTAAAAAATTTATAAACTGTACATTGAGTTTAAGGGCAAAAAACGTAGAGATAAACTAAAGGACCATGGGAACAAATTAAGTTAATTTCTTCAATTTTCTGCTGTTCATGTCTTTATAATTTGCCTTCCTTTCTCCGTTTTTATTACTCATATTTTCCATTTTCCTTAATTTGCCATCCAGTAGTCCTACAGTTAGATGGCACAGAAGTACAGCAAGATAAACGTCTATCATTTTCCCACCTGCCTTCATAACCTTCTCAATCACCCCCGTTGACCCTGCTGATTCAGATGTTAGTAGCCATAAGGGTTTCCCAGATTCACACAGTGTTCTCAAAATGAAGAGGCAGAGAAACCAGAGAAGTTAGAGATGCTTTACTAAACAAGACTTAGATTTAGTGGAAACTGTTAAACACACATCTGAGTTCTAGTCTTACTTCTGTCAGTAACTGGATATGTGAACATAAGCAGATCATTTAACCAGACAGGGTCTCCACTTTCTCTTCTGCAAAATTAAAAAAAATAGCCTAGTTGCTTTCTTACAAGGTAACTGAATCTAAAATTTCAAAAAATATTTTGAATAGTATAAAGCAACGTTAAAGTATTGTACTAACTTATAAAGTTATAGGTTACTGAGATCCAGTAACAATATCTTCTATGATAACTACCAGTGTGATAAAAAGGAAGACAAAATTGTTTGCAAATTTATGAATGTAAAAAATGACATCTAGTCATCAGTGTATTATCACAAGAGTAAAAGTTGTGTCTGCATGGTCTCAAACATCTGAATGAAAAAGAAAAATGTCTCTGAATTGCTTGAATATTTTAAAAAATGTAAAAACAAAAATGAAAACCCAAATGGTTAACTAGTACACAAGAAGATTCTAACTCGTCATCAGAGAAATTCAAATTAAAACACAATTTCATTTATGTAAACTTAAAAAGACTGAAAAACTTCTATATTTGATATAGTCTGAATGTGTGGCCCTCCAAAATTCATATGCAAAACCCAAGGTGATGGTAGTAAGTGGGGGCTTTAGGAGGTAGGTGATTAGGTCATAAAGTGGAGAATTCTCATTAATAGGATTAGTACTCTTATAAAATAAGATCCCAGAGAGTTTCCTAGCGTCTTCTGCCATGTGAGGATACAATGGGAAGTCTGACCCAAAAGAGGGCCTTCACCCAACCATGCTGGCATCCAGATCTTGGACCTCCTGGTTTCGGAACTGTGAGTAATAAATTTCTGTTATTTATAAGGCACCCAGTTTATGGTATTTTGTTATAACTGACCAAATGAACTAAGACAGTATTCTACGAGAAGTATACATATCTATGGATGTTATACATGACACGTTGGTATGAAAGCCTAGAGCAGGGGGTTGCAAGCAAAGTGAAATGGAACTGCAAATCAGGAGTGACAGGAAAATTAAATTAATTAAGAGAGAAACCTTGCATGGACAGATCAGGACAGTATGCCATGAACAGAAACATGTAAATAACCAAATTCTCTATACTTGAGGTCCATTTAAATAAAAATAAAAAATAAAAACACATATCAGCACATACAAACCTAATACCATAAACCCATGAACTAATGTTCATGTTTTATTTATATAGAGATGGTCAGGGCCCTCCCTCAGGAACTACTTAGTCTTCATAGGTAAAAGCAACTCTAAAAAGTTTTTTGTTTTTTATATGCTTAAACAAAAGCAGGAAATTAGAACTGAAGACTAAGGAAGAACAAATAAAGTGATATTTACAATCCACCTAATAACATCAAGAAACAACAGTTGCCAGAGACAAAGAAAACACTTTTAAAAGCATACTTATGATCTTAAAAAGCCCAGAAGTCTAAGGATATTTACTTTGACAGCAAAAAGCTGAATATACTTCAGTGACCTCTATCTGAGAAAAGGCTGTATTATATTGTAAATTTTATTAACAGTAGCAATAATAAAATAATCCCTCTACAAATATTGTTGTTTCTTTTAAAGTGTGAGGCCTGTACTCTCACTGACACATATATTTAAACCCAATAGATTATTTTCCTGGAGTTACACCCAGTTTTAACATATCCAGATATTTGATAGCACATTTATAAAACATTTAGGTGATTAACTGAATTTTCAACTCCATTTTGTTTGCTATCCTGTAAATACAGCCATTGATACAAACACTAACTCACTAATGTATTCCTGAAAAAAATATCAAGTTAAATATTACAATCCTGTATGGCTTTTTAACTGAAGTTTAATAACCTCTTCACACACAAAAAACAGAATGATGTTCCTAATGGCTTTTAAAGAAACAAAAACTCCTTCTGCCTGTGGCAGATGGTAATTCATACCTGTAATTTTTTTGCATATCGGTTGAACATAAATGTCACACATTCATAGATAGCACCTGTTCTCTGAAGAAGCAGTAGTCCTTTGGGGGTAGCAGCAAAATTTAGTAAATCATCTAACAAATTCTCTTCCCAAGCCATACTGAAACAGATAAAAGAAAAGTATGAGTTTCTTTATTATATTCAAACTGAAAAAAAAATAGCTTAATTCTGCTGATAATTAAATTTATAGAGTACACATTGGTTGAAAGTACTCAATAAATGTTTAAAATATGATAAAAAGCATAGCTTCCTTGATAGTAAATTGTTTTTTCTTATACTTTCTATCCCAATAATTTTCCTCCATTGAATGAATCAAATATTAACTGCATATGTCAGCATTTTTATTACATCTAGGTTCTTTTATCCATGCCTTAAATTCATTCTGTCTTCCTATTATAATTCTGCTGTGCCTGGATTCCTCAAGCCCAAATTCTCCATTATTTTGAAATATACATCCCTTTCATTACAGAATATCTGTCTTCCAACTTTCTAAAGCATATCAGGCATATTATCTTTATTTTCATAGGTTTTAATTATACTTTTGGAAATGATTTTTTTTT